AAATTATCATAAACTCTTTACAAAGAAAAGCACCCAATGTATTTTTGGGTATGGAAATTGAGTTATATTTTACATTAAAATAATTATTTAATTTGATGTAAACAAGTATTAATACTTTTTACATAAAATTTTTTACAAATAATAAAAATTTTGTAAAAAAATCAACAAGTAAACATAGAATTAGAGGATGTTTGGTTATGATTTTTTAATTTTGAGAATTTATACTATTTATTATTTTTTTAAAGAAAATTATATTAAATATTAATTTTATTACCTTCAAAATTAGTTTTATACTTAAAATATAGCAATGCACACATCAAACAACTATTTAAGGTTATATTATTGTTCGAAATTGAAATATCCAAACAAATGTCAAATTAAATACTTACTTTTCATTTATTATATAATATTAAAATTTATTTTTTATTCAAGATATCACTTCAAATATATTTATATCACATCAAACAATTATTTCAATTCAAAATTTTATTAATCAAAACCAAAACTTTAAAAGTAAACACACACTTTTCTTTTAATTTTTGTTCAAATAATGAATTGTTAATAGTTTGTTTACCCAAAAAAAAAAAAAAAAATTATTCTATTACAAAAGTCAATATTCAACATAAAATATTACTTTTATTATTGACACAATACTCAATACTTTTTTTTTTTTTTTTGGGGAGCATATGAATTATATTGTCCATAAATACTATTACATCATGCACTTCTACAATGATTGAACCCAAAGCTAATTATAGCTAATAACTAAAATAAAGAGCACTACATCTATTAACCAAAATCTCTAGCATTATACCAACATCAATTTCCACCATCACATTTGACTAAATAACACCTTACAGACAACCAATCTGTGCAAAAAAGGCATACATTAAGGTCACAACTTACCTTCTTAGTCAGTAGACCTCCACCAAGGAAATCATCGTGAATCATAACAACCAACACTCTGAGATATGTCTAAATCTTAGATCATTGTGCGATTTCGCATACGAAATTGACATAGTTCATAGGACAGTCATTGTATATGTTGTTCCTTCACAGCAGAAGTGAACATGTAAAGTCTATAGCCACGCTAAAAGGTCTGTATTACATTAGGAACCTCTCTTTGCTAAGCTGTCAGCCAAGAAGTTACGCTCGCGTACAATATGACAAATCGTAGTTCTATTAGAATGACTGATAAAATTTAAGAATTTCTTGTACCTCCCAATCAAGTCGCCAAGGATACCCACACTTATTGTTAATCCAGGAAATCACTGTAGTTGAATTGCTCTCTATGATAGTTTGTGGGATAAGAAAGCCAATCGATCGCTGAAATATTTGTAAAATATATATTTTATGCTTCAAGCTTCACAGTATTAGAGTCCGCTACCCCAATGTATTTTGAGAGTATATGGATTATGTGGCCCTTATCGTCACATACCACAGAGCCAATACTCGTATCTCCAGGTTTTCCTTAAGCGGATCCGTCAATTTTAATCTTCCACATACCAGTTGCTAGCGGAACCCAAGAAACATCTCGACGAATCAAACCTTCATTACTTTTTGGTTGAATATGGATCTGAGCAAGATAATCACTAATGAGCAAAATGTTGAACGTTTCCCACGGGTATTTCGCATGGGTCCATTTCCACATATTTCATCTAATCCTATGGATCAATCCATGTCCTGTAACTGATTTACCTTGGAAGATCAGTTCATTCCGGGATTGCCAGAGACACCAGATGATCGAAAATAGAGTTGCCTCCCAAATAATATTTTTGGATTTACATCGAATGAGGACTCTCGATTGATGGAATAGTTCCATCACACTCATAGGAGACATCAAATGTATACCGAACCATCCAATTATTTCACTCCATATCTGAGATGTTAGATCACAGAAGAGAAATACATAGTCAATTGTCTCCATAGCCATACCACAGAACGGACAACACGCCTCTTGTGAATCCAGAATATGGCACATATATAATTCTGCTTGAACCGGGATACCTCTTTTAATTACTCTCCATATAAGACACTGAGATTTCGGGGATGCCAAATTGCTCTCGATCCATTTCAGATTCTATGCACTATTTTGAGCCCAAGAAAGTGCATATATGCTTACTTTAACTGTGTATCTGCCGCCTATTGATTCAGTCTAGACAACCTTATCAATCGCATTTTGATAAGGGGTGCAACTATTTAGATATTGAATAAATACATTCCACATCTCAATCTCCCAATCAAATAAATTTATGCGGAGTTGAATATTCCGAATCCAAACATTTCCCCCCCAATCTCTATAAGAAACGACAATATATGATTTATTACAGTAGAGCACATACATTCTCGGGAAGAGGAACTTGAGGTCTGAGTCCCCCAGCCAAATATCTTCCCAAAATTTGGTCATAGCTCTATCCCCTAACAAGATCTTGGCCCTCGCCTCTGGATTGATAAGGCTTTCAAAGTTTGCCCAACTATTTTTTATTCTTCCCCAACTTGAATTACTTAGTTTCCCATGACTAGATGTAGGAATTAAAGATGAATGAGTCACTCCCTTTCCGGTGTCAAGACCCTCAATAAGAAGCTTCCAGAGATTCCCTGGTTCTTGGAATCGCCACTTCCATTTGTAGAGTGATGCAAGATTGACATGGATGATGTTACCCATTCTGAGGCCTCTCATCTCCCATAGCGCCTACAGTTCCTTCCACATAATAAGTCTTAGTTTATTTTTCCCCTCTTCGTCCCCCAGAAGAATTTATGAAACATCATCTCTATCTTGTTTGATATCTTTACAGGAATACAAACAATTGATAGAAAGTATGACGGCATTGCTTGACATACAACCTGAATTAAACGGGCCCGCCCTGCCTGAGAAAGTCTTTTTTGTTTCTAGTGACTGAGAAGACCTTGCAGTTTTTCTAAGATCGGCTTCCATACCTCTTTGTCATTGCACCTTCCTCCAATTGGAATTCCAAGATATTTACAAGACTAAGCGCTATCCTAACAACCAAAAATCTCAATAGCTCTTGTCATCATTTGATCATCCACATTCACTCCATAAATATTACTTTTGTTGTAATTAATTTTAAGCCCAATGCAAATGCAAAAATCCAAATGATTCTCTTCAGGACCCATAAATTTTCCTCTATTCCTTCTACGAAGAAGATTATGTCATTTGCATATTGAATATGACTTATCGTCACTCCCCCAGAACCCACCTTCATATCTTTGAGTTTTCCAATATCAATTGCTAGGGAAATAAGGGCATTAAGAACTTCAGCCACCAAGAGAAAAAGGTACGGAACCAAAGGATCACCTTATCTAACCCCTCTGCGGATTAGGAAGAAGTCTGTTGGTGAACCATTGATCAACATTGCTGCCGAGGCTGACTGTAGGCGCATCATCATCCACATTCTTCATTTCTCACCAAATTTCATAGCCTCGAGCACATTATCAAGTGCTTTCCATGAGACACAGTCGTATGCTTTGGCAATATCAACCTTTATGACAAAACCATTTAGCTCCGATCTTCTTGCTGCTTAAATAGTTTCCAATGCTATCAAAATGGCATCGAGAATTTGTCTTCCTTTGATGAATGCCCATTGTTGATCGCCAATGATATCATGGCTAACCTCTTTAACCCGAAGGCTAAGCAATTTTGTGAAAATTTTATATGCACACCCGATAAGTGTGATCGGTCGATAATCTTCAAATTTATTGGGCTCTCTTTTTTGGAAATTACGGTGATAAAAGTTGCGCCAAAACCTGGTGGAATTTTGAAGATTGTTTACCATCAGTGTTACACCATTCACCACCTTATCCCAAAATCTCTTGATGAAGTTGAAATTAAAGCCGTCTGGATCGGAAGCCTTATCACCGGGACAAGTCTTAACTGCTTTCCAAATCTCCTTAGCATAAATGGGTCTATCGAGCCTATCTTGTTGTTCTTGGGAGAGTACTCCTACACCAAGATTGCTCACTTTTGGCCATATACCGGATTTAACCTTAAAGTCAAAACACAATTCTCTTTATATAACAAAAAATAATACATAAAAAAAAAAAAATTCAAATCAAAACACTATACAAACCAACCTATATATTCTTTCACTTTGGTAACAATGAATTCATGGTGCTATATAGAAGGTTAGGGTTTGTTTAGTAAAATTATTTGAATTATTTTATTTTATTTTTTATATGAGGTATATCGAGTTTGTTTTTTATTTTTTTGCAATTTTTTTAACATATATTCTCAAAAAAATTAATATACTACACATACTAATTATTTTTATATTATCTGTGCTATTACTAAAATTAATTAATTATTTTGATTTTAATTATATAATTACTTATCTTATATAACATAATACTGCTGATGGGGGAGTATTATTCTTTAGAAAGTAAAAAAAATAAAAAATTAATTTTGATATTTTTATATACTATTTGATAAAAAGTGTCAAAATTAAAAATGTTCAATTTTTTTTTTTTCATCATTTCATTTAATTTGGTTTTTTAAAAATAATTATATATTTTAATTATTATTTTTACTAATATATTTTTAAAATTATTTATTAATTATATATATTTTTTATTATTTATTAATTATATATTTTTTTAAAATTCAGTATCTACAATAAGTAGTGAATAATTTAAACGAGAGGGATGAAATATTTAAATTCGGTTCCGTATTTAATACGAGTATTCAATCTGGTTTTAGCCCAGAATTTACTGACGCTTCCTTCCCCTGAAATGAATCTGTATCTGTATGTGGCCCCTCAAATGGTAAATCCGTTCACACGCTGTTAATTAATGAACAATTTCATCTCCCCTCCCTTTCCCATTTACCACACTGCCGACACTTTTCACCTCCCCTTCCATTTTTCACACGAATTGGGATCGTAATAATTCTTTTAACTGTTTCTGTTGATCTTCAGCGTCGCCTTCCTTATATATAGTATTTTATATATAATACATATACATATTATACATATATATATATATGTGCGTGCAGTCGTACAGAGACGGGTCTGCGATCGAATTCTCTTTCCCGGTTACAGCATAATCCTCCCTGTCTTCCTGAAAAAATTCTGCAAGGGAGGGAGAGGACTTGCAGAGATTTCAATTGGAGGTAAAGTCAACTAAGAGAAAATTTCATGAGCTCTCCATGTCGCTGGCGCTATTTTGTTGTTGATTGTTCTTAATTAGAGTTGGGAAGCGCTCGAGCTTTGATTTTAATTTTCTAGGGTTTCGGTAGGTGTTGATTTTGGAGCTTTTAATTTGATCCTTTGATTGGGAATACGCTGATTTCGTTCATCTGATTTAGGATTTTTCCTTTTTGTTTTTTTGGTTTCCCCTGCGTGTGAATCTCTCCATAGCCTGTTAGATCTGATCTTCTTCCATGATGGCTTATGTTATTGCGACAGATGTGAGGATCTAATTAAGTGCTGCAACTGAAAGGGCTTCTTTTGGTTCTCACCTTTTTTTTCAGTTGAAGTTCATGTGCTTGCTGTGATATTTATGTGTTTCTCTTATCTCTGATGGTGTATATATAAATATATATACATGTTCTGATTTTGGTCCATTTCTGTTCATACAATCCTTGCAGGCTGAAACATTAGCCATTTGCGTGATCCGGTAATAATCGGACCTTCTTGTTGGAAGTTAATTTTGTAGTTCCTGTAGCTCCGGCGAGATGATGATGTTTGAGGATATGGGGTTTTGTAACGATTTCGATTTCTTCGCCACCGGTGCTCCGATGAAGGAAGTAGACGTCTGTCCTTCTCTACAGATGGCTGAGGCAGATCCGGTGGTGGAGGACGATTACACTGATGAGGAGATCGACGTCGATGAGCTGGAAAGGAGGATGTGGCGGGACAAGATGCGTCTGAAAAGGCTCAAGGAGATGAGCAAGGGAAGAGAAGGCGGCGTCATGGATGCTGCGAAGCATCGGCAGTCGCAGGAGCAGGCGAGGAGGAAGAAGATGTCGAGGGCGCAGGACGGGATCCTCAAGTACATGTTGAAGATGATGGAAGTGTGCAAGGCTCAAGGATTCGTATATGGGATCATCCCGGAGAAAGGCAAGCCGGTGAGCGGCGCATCCGACAATCTCCGCGAGTGGTGGAAGGACAAGGTCCGATTCGATCGTAATGGCCCGGCCGCCATATCCAAGTACCAAGTCGAGAACGGAATCCCGGGGCCGAACGAGGGGTCGACCCCCGTCGGCCCTACGCCGCACACCCTGCAGGAGCTGCAAGACACCACTCTCGGCTCGCTTCTGTCCGCCCTTATGCAGCACTGCGATCCGCCGCAGCGGCGCTTCCCGTTGGAGAAAGGCGTCCCGCCGCCGTGGTGGCCGACGGGAAAGGAAGAGTGGTGGCATCAGCTCGGCCTTCAGAAGGAGCACGGCCAAGGGCCGCCACCGTATAAGAAGCCTCACGATCTCAAGAAGGCGTGGAAGGTCGGGGTGCTAACCGCCGTCATCAAGCACATGTCGCCGGACATTGCCAAAATCCGGAAGCTCGTCCGGCAGTCGAAGTGTCTGCAGGACAAAATGACTGCTAAGGAAAGCGCGACGTGGCTCGCCATCATCAACCAGGAGGAAGCCTTGGCTCGGGAGCTTTACCCCGACCGGTGCCCGCCACTGTTGTCGTCCGGTGTCAGCGGATCACCCGCGATGAACGATGGCAGCGAGTATGACGTCGATGTGTGCGACAACGAGTCGAGCTTTGATGTTCACGAGCAAAAGCCTAATGCCCTCGGTCTCCTCAACATCGGGATGGAAAGTTTCCAGCAGCCTCCCCCCGGAATCAAAGACGAATTCGTCGCCAATTTAGACTTCTCCCGGAAAAGGAAGGCGGGCAACGAGATCAACATGATGATGGACCATAAGATGTACACGTGCGAGTTTCCTCACTGCCCTTATGGCGAACTTCACCGCGGCTTTCAGGATCGAGCTTCCCGGGACAATCATCAGCTCTCTTGCCCGTACAAGTGCGCTCCCGGATATAGGACGTTAAACAACGAAGTCAAGCCGCTTGTCTTCCCCCAGGCATCTGTGCCGAATCCTACACCTCCATTCGATCTGTCGAGGCTCGGTGTTCCCGAAGACGGGCAAAGAATGATCAACGATCTCATGTCCTTCTACGACAACAGTATCCATGGGACGAACAAAACAGTCTCCAATGCAGCAGCGAAGGAGCAGGAGGGCTGTGTCCACGTCCACGGTCAGGGAATATCGTTCGATGGCGCGTACAATCCATCGGATCAGTTCTACCTCAACACCAGCAAAGTTGTGAATTCTTCTTTCAACCACAACCCGGTGGCGGCCGAGAGCTTCCAACTAATGTTCGGAGGTTCTCCGTTCAATATACAGCCGCAGCGGCCAGGCGATTACGCGGATAGCCTGGCGAAGCAGCAGGACGTCGGCATTTGGTACTGAACTAAATGGGTAGAATGAGTCCAACTCCAAATGTCGAGGGATTACAACTACACAAAGAGAGGTGTTGCAAGTTCAACTGTTCATGTCCTGATCAGGTGGATTCTTTTTCACCCAATTGTGATTATCGGTTGGTTCATTGTTCTTGTTTTCCCCAGTCAATATAGTCTTATTATAAAATAATAATAAGTTTGAGATTATTACAAATATGGATAAAGGCATAGGTGTAGATGCAGACAGGAAGGTAAGAGAAGAGTGATGATTGTAATAAAGAAAGAGGAAAGAAACAAGTGGGATGGTAATGGTCTGGTCTGGTGTGGTATGGTCCTCCTTCAGACAACTTAACATGTGTAGTAGGGAAAGATCTAAGATGATGATGGATGGATGTTGCATAAATTAGTAGGATTATTAGTTTTCATTTTTGAAATTTGAGAGAATTATCTTTTAGTGGGTGGGGTGGGGTGGGGTTTGATAAGTCCATTATGTAATGTAATGTAATGTATTTGCAATTTGGTGTCCAGATAGATATATTATTGTCCAACCTGGGTTGGCTGGCTGGCTGGCTGGCTGTATTTTGTTGACTAAAGGTTCTTTGTTTCTGTGTCATAGTCGTAGATCTCCACCGTTGAATGGTGAAACATCAACGGTGTGGATGTGGATGTGGACGGGGGAATTAGGATATTATTGGATATCCCCCCCCCACCTTAATCTTGTCAAATATGTATATTTATTTATTTATTTATTTTTAATTGTGTTTGGAGGCTTCTCATCTCAAGACGACTCCCGAATCACTATTCATACTTTTTTTTCTTTGTTCAATTTATGTTTACTAATTTGATACTATTTATTTTTAAAAAAACATCATATCAAATAAATTTTTTATTTCATAAAACATCAAATCAAATACTAATTATTTACTTTCAAATCTCCAAAAATCTCGTAACTAAACAAATCCTAGTCTCCTGTCATTTTTGTTTCTCGTTTCCTTCAACTTCACTTCAGCCGCCCCTCCACAATTATATATATAATTATTACATAAAAATATAGCACTAATTTACTTATCAAATTAAAATTTCAATACAGATGTTAATTTTGAACAAGCAACTGCGGGTGTTGCCTGGATGTATTATTTTATTTTATATTATTTATTTTAACCTCCTGCGCTATTATTATTATTATTATTATTTGTGTTTTAATAATATTAATACTCCATTATTTTTTTAAAAAAATAGTTGGAATTAATTTTTTAATAAATAAAAAGCTTCAAACTATTTTAGTTTAATTTTATTTTATTACAAAAAAGGATAGAAAAGTGACAAAAGTATTTAGTTGGGAGAGAAACATGAAGAATTATTACAACGTGGGGCTCTCCACGTGCACCGCAGTATGGGTTTTGTACAAAAGCTAATTTGTTTTTATTATGGTCATAAGGTCATTGCATTTTCTACACCAATTTCTCTCTCTCTCTCTCTCTCTCTCTCTCTCTCTCTATATATATATATATATATACATATATATATTTATAATTTTTTTAATAAAAATTAAATAGGTATTGGTTTAATTATAAAATTAAAAGGGGTTTGGGTTTGGATGTGTGATGGAATAATAAATAACAAATGGAGTTGAGTTGACTGGCACTAAAAAATACTGTTAGTATGTAAAAAAGTGAGCAAAATAGTGTTGTTTCCAATCAAATAAGGCCACATCCACATCGAAAATGGGAGCACCTCAAATCAATATAACAGACACTGTTTGACCTAACAATTAATTGGCTGGCTGGCAGCCCAACTGTCATTTATTTTATATCAATGTATATATATATATATTGGTGTTTTAATTCAATCAAAATGGAGAAATAGTTGTGGCTTCAATTAAAAATTTCTGATCCTCATTTTAATTTTTTATTTTTAAAACAATTCCATTTGTCAATAATAAAATTAAGTAATCGTTTCATCTCAACTCAATATATTTTCTTTTGTTAACTTAGAAATATTTATTTTTAATTATAATAAAAATAATTATATCTAAATATCTATAATTTTTATAAAAAAAATTCATCTTTTTTTTTTTGTATTCTCAAAAGCAAAAATATTAAAACTATTTTATATACTTTCACTAGTCAATAAAATGTTGTTATTTGTTAATCTACTAAAAAAATAAAAGAATACTGAACTCAAGAAGTAGAGCCGTCAAAATGGGTTGAGTCCGTCGGGTTGGCCCGCCTCATCTTACTTTTTAGGAGGATTGAGTTGTGATTTTTTAAGCCCGTTAAAATGCGGGCCTAAACGGGCCAACCCCCACATGAGTCGTGGGTTGAGAATGGGTTAGCCCGCGGGCCAAATAAATATAATAATTAACTAAATATATATATATTATTTTTTACTGTGATATTAAAAAATTATAATAAAAGTAATCAAATATTAATATCAGAATATATTTTAATTTTATATAAATTACAAATATATCATTATAAATACAATTAATTTATAAATAACGTACAAAGAGAAAAAAAAATCAAAATCATTTTGTATATTTTATTTAATAAATAACATATTATTATTTTTAATCTACTAAAAGGATATATTTTCAGTTAAGACGAATAAAATTAGTTTAAATAAATTACTCAATATTATCTAAATGTTGCTTTTATTTTCTAACTATGTTATCAATATCACTCTTATTTATTTCGATTTTTCATCATTTGTTTTGTTCGTCTTCCATTTTATTGTTTTATAACATTTTTTTTATTCTAAAATCTACATATTCATAAAATTAATTATGATTTATTTGGAAAATATTTCTTATTATTAATTTTTCTATAATATTTATTATTTAAATTCTATAATAAAACTTTCTCTTTTTTTTAACTATTTTTAAATATTAATTACGAAAATATTTATAATATTAATATTTTTAAAAAGTCCGTGAGCTAGCCCGCTTAGTTCGCCACCCGTCGGTGGGTTGGGTTGGATTGATGAAATTTTGATCCGGCCTGCTGCAGGTTGACTCGCAAACAACCCGCTTATTTGCGGGTTATGGTGGGTTGTAGGTCAATCCGCCCCGCTAATCCGTTTTGACAGGTCTATAAAGAAGTGTAATACTCCTTCCGTTCTATTGGAAGTGTGACATTTGCTTTTTGCACGTAGATTTTTGAATATTAGTATTATATTGGATTGTAGTAAAAAAGACAAAAAATACCCGTGTAATATAAAAGTAATGACATTTGTGTAATATATTGTAAATTGAAAGAGTATTTATTATGTTAGGTAAGTAGTACAATTACTAAATTAAGAAATTGTAACCTTATTTTGGAATGAACGAAAATAAAAAATAGTAGCCTTTGAATTAGACGGAGGGAGTATAATGGTAACGATGATCCTCATATGGAAAAGGGTCGGGTAAAGTTATTATAAAAGATCCGATCCAAACATATCGTTTGATTTGGAACCCGATAAGAAATGACATACTTGAATATACCTAAATTGGATTTAAGGTAAATTCGATACGAAATGACATACTTGAATACTTATGCAATTCTTCATAGCTTCGACCCGAACTTGGCTTGACCAATACAAAAAATTATACTTCTTTTTTTTATAAAAGTTATAATAAAATCCTTGCAAATAAATAATCAACTAAACAAAAATATTTTTAATATAATTATGTTGATTATATTATTATATTAATTGGGTCAAATCCAAACCTAGGTCTACCATTGGATTCTAAACCTAACCAACACTCAGAAAATATTATGTATTATTCGATCAAATACCCGAATAATTAGATTCGACCTCGATTAAATGGGTTGAGTTCTCAGTATCAAGTTTACCTAGATCATTGCCATTCCCATTGCAGGTGGAACAAATTTTTATATATATCCGCAGCCGTTACCCGAAAGTACGCCCTGGGTAAACGACCGAACCTAATACCCTGCAAATCAGGCCCGACAGGAAAGTCACACTAGGCGAACCATGTGTGGCAGGTGATCACAAGTCCAACCCCTACACCACGAGACCATCTATATGTTGTTTGAAATATATTTATGTGGTTAATTTGATATTAAATCAGTTAGTTGTTTTTTCATTATATTTATTAATAATAAATAAATAAAATATGATTGGATTTGTTTATTTGTGAGCTTTTTCAAATTATTTATTTATACTACATAGCAGTATTTTTTTTATCTTTTAAATAGATTATATAATTAATTTACTTGAATATCATTTTGAAAAATTTAATAAATTATGACTCTATTTATATAAATATATTTTTTTAACATTATTTATTAAAAATAATATTTTTAAAAAATATTACTTAAAAAATATATATATATTTTCACAAAATATCATAAATATCAAACCTATATATAATTATTTTCTCTATATTTTTGTTATATAATGTATACATATAACATATTACATCAAAAGTTCAGTTCACTCCAAAAATATTAAAATATAAAATAAAACCAAACACACAACATAAAAATCCAAAACACCAAAAATAAATAAATTTTGCCATTATCCATATGATTTCTAAAAATACCCCAACACAAAACAAACACACCCAAAAATGCATGCAATTGCCCATACCTTTAATTTCTAATAAAAACTTTATGGTCGATTTACTTGTATTTTTAATTACATTATATTTTTAATGTGAAGAATTTATTGACAAAAATACTACTCTTAGTTTAATATAAAATGTAATGATATTGTTTATTTTTGTTTAAAGACCATATTTACTAAATTTAAATTTTAATAGTCCGTAATGGACTCGTGATCGTAAGAACATGAGTTCAAATTGATTATAGATTCAAACTCTCGATCTCTTCAGGTTTTGCTTATCAATTACTACACATAATTCACCTTGTGTGATTTACTTACCGGGCATAAACAATTTAAAATAATAAAAGGATTCATTAATAGCATACTAAGAAAGTATTACATATTAAAATATGTATTTATACTTATTATTATTTTTAAAAAAACATACTAAAATTTTATTTTATTTAAAATGTCAGAATTAACATACTCCCTCCGTCCCATAAAAAGATATCCATTTACTTTTTGCGTGTTGATATTTGAATATTAATTATTATATCAAATCGTATTACAAATAAAGAAAAAATAACAAAATACTTCTATTGGTGTCTTATAATACTAATATAATGACATTTGTATAAAAAATTATACAAATATAAGAATATTTTCAATATTAAGTACAATGACGCAAAATAAAAATAAATACTTTGTTATGAGATGGAGGAGTATAATTTTTATTACTATTCTCACTAAAGCAAACTTTACATTATCAATAATAATAATAATAATAATAATAATAAGAGGACCGGGTGGAATGGACCGACACACAGTGCCACCTCGAAGGAACATTAATCTTATTACATGGCGCGCGCACATACCCGCATGTGTGTGTGTGTGCATGCACCTAGGCACACTTTGATATAATAATCCAATAATTGTAGCAAGAGCTATACAAAAAAAAGTAAACACCAATAATAAAAACTTTCACATTTACTTTAATATAATTTAATTTAATTTTCAATTAATGGTAATCATTATATATATATATTGTTAATTAATTAAATATTATTGTTGATTAAGATTGGCATGCAACAGGACAGATGGGTGTGTACGAAACCCTGGCCTGTCTCACATGAAGTGGACATCTCTAATCACACTTATTACATTAATTAAGTGGATAATATTATCTCTATTTATTTAATCGAATTTTATTAATTTAATTGTTTATTTTAAA